CCCGAGCCCTCATCTCCTCACCTGTCCCAGGGCGGTCACCTCTCTCTGAGGTGGGCCTATTTCTCTCATCTGTTCAATATTACATCTTCCCCCTGAATTGTGGCCCTCTCCTTCAGGGATCCCCCTGGCCCCAAACACCAACTCAGCAAGGGCTGTCATGGCTTCCACGGCAGGTGCACACACACACCCAGTGAGGGACAGGCCCGTCAGGAACCTCCGCTGTTCTGTTCAGTTTTGCTTTGGATCAGAACGGAGAAAGTGGCTGTGGGCAAGGCCCCATGTCCTTGCTCACGGCAGGGTCAGTCTGCAGAGAGGAAGGCGGGAGGGAGAGTGGACGGTCCTGGGATAATTTGTGTCTCTGGTCCCAGCTGTGTCTGGGTCCAGGCGCCCTGCTCACATCTGGATGCTGACAGCACCTCGCTGTTCGGCGCTGGTGTCTGACGATAGGCTTTCTCACGGGGATGTGTGTAGCATCAAATGAGTGCCAGTGCACGAAGAGCCAGCTCGGGGCCTGGCCCACTGCAGGCTCAGTAGGCATGAATTCCTTTCCCTTAATGGGCACTGGGCACGGATGGGGGTTGGCAAGACACCAGGAAGATGTGAGGCATCTGCACTCTGGATGTGATGGAACTAAGCAGCTCCTGGGAAACTCCAGTCAGGTGCCTAAGACCCTGCAGAGCCCCACAGGAGGCCAGAAGGAATGCCCACGCAGAACATTTGGTGGGTAGAAAGAATGAGGCTAAGAAAAAAAATTCTGCCCCATTTCTTTGTCAGGGAAGGGGGTTGGGTGGGAGTTGTCAACAGATACTCCCTCTGGGCCAGGGATACACGCTGAAGTTTCTGGGGATCCAGAGGATTAATGCCAGAAAAGGCGTTCCAGGAAAGGAACATTTGAGCTGGGTTTTGTAGGATAAATACGAGTTTTCCAAACATGGAGAGGACTTGGAAAAGACACTGAGCTATCACTGCCAATCAACCACTATTCGAACAGAGCTGATCTGTATGAGGATTGAGATGGTCTGGGTTTGAGTACCGCCTCACATAAGCTTTAGACTCGTCTCTGCTCCTGTTCCCTGTCTGCAAAATAAGGAAATAGGTTGCTTCTAGTGTTTAAGTGAAGCAGTCAGAGCAAGGTGGTGGCATTGTGGTTAAACACTCAATAAATGTTCAGCTTACTGGGAAAAGCCTTTATGTTATCAAACCAGTCCCATCCCCTTAAAATGATTCAGGTTCTGAGCCCCTAGCAGTGCTACATGCTCAGTATGCTTTGTCTCATGCAGGCCACGCACCACCTCACGATGTTCCAGTCCCCAATGGCCGCATATCTGACCGTGGTCCCAGACATTACAGCGGAGCTGGAAAACTCCTTCCACCTGGGGACGTCCCAATTGTCCCAACGGCACAGCTGTCACAATGTGTTTGTGGCGATGCTGGTTTATAAATAAGCCTGCTGTCCTGTCACGCCTATGAGAGTATCACATAGAATCTCATGCAGAACCTCATACTTGAGGAGGATCATAACCGACTATCCTGCTGCTTCATGCATTCGCCACACTGTGCTTTTTATCCTTAAAATGCATTCTTCCTACTTATCAAAATGTTTGCTGTCCAACAGTAGCTGTGTTAAAGGAGCCTCGTCTCATTCAGCAGGTCTCCTGATTGTACCATTTTCTTTTGTGTTCGATTTTACCTCGTGTTTCTTTTGCACAGCAATACGCGTACAGGTTTGCAGCCTGGGAGCAATAGGCTTTGCCATATCGCCTGGGTGTGCATAAGGCTAGACTCCTGGTCGGCAAACTCATTACTCAACAGAGACAAATCTCAACAGTACAGTGATTGAAATTTCTTGTGAGAGCCACATTTTTAAAACTTAAACTTCTTCTAATGCCGCTTCTTCAAAATAGACTCACCCAGGCCGTGGTATTTTGTGGAAGAGCCACACTTAGAGGGCCAAAGAGCCAGTCGCATGTGGTTCATGAGCCGCAGTTTGCCGACCATGGGGCTAGACCATGTAGTCTTCTGTAAGTGCACGCTATGATCGCTATGATAATGAAATTATCTGGTGAATTTCTGGGACTATACCCCCTTCTTTTTTAAAATTTATTTTCTTGTTGTTGTTAATCCTCACCTAAGGGTATTTTTCCCATTGATTTTTTTTTTTTTCTTTTTAAGAGAAAGAGTGGAAGAGAGGAGGGAAAAAGCAGTGGGGGGTGGGGGGAGACATGGATGTGAGGGAGACACACTGATTGGCTGCCTTCCACACGGGCCAGCCCCTGACTGAGGCTTTGACTGGGAATCAAACCCTTGACCCTTCGGTGTATGGGCCTATACTCTATCGCTGAGCCACACCAGGCGAGGGTAGCCCCTCCTTAAGTGTGCAGGACTGTATCCCCACTAAGACAGGACCACAGGCTAGAGGCAGCACACCTGGCCGGTGTGCAGCAAGTAGATCAGGGTCCAACCAGGCTCGTCCAGTGGCCCAGGCCCCGGGCCCTGAGGGGGAAGGACTCGCCTCAGGACTCACCCCTGCAGGGGCTGGGGCACTGGGGCTGCTTATGGGCCGACTCCAGGGCAGCAATTTGGCTGGGCGGCTGCGGCTTGGTGTTTGCCAGGTTCTTTCTAATAACAACACGTCCGTTATTAACGCCAGAGAACCAGGGGTGGCAGACGGAGGTCACTTAGGCAGGCTTAGCCCTCCACAGTCCCACCGGAACCCTCTCCCGCTCCAGGGCTGGGCAGGCTGGGGCTCCCTCGCAAGGAGAAGGACTAAGGAAAGGCTGGGCTGACACCCCCAGGGTCAGCAGGGACCGGCCTCCCAGCCTCAGACCTGCCTGCACCCTTATTGCCGTCTCCTCCCCAACCGCCTGCAGCTTCTGCCAAGAAAATTCCTTGTAGTCCTCGTAGAAAATTCCAGCCCCGAGGTCCCCTGACGGACGGGGTTTTCCCAGCCTGTGGGTGGGAGCAGCAGTGCGTGCATCCCGTCCCGTCCCGGTGGCTGCAGCCCAAGGCGTTGGTGAGCCGCGGCCCCCACATTCCCCGATGGGTGTCCCCGCCCCTCCCGGTCCCCAGGGCCACGACTGGCCTTGACTCCTTGGGGATGGGCTGGCTGCCAGGGCCAACAGGTTCGGGACGTCCTGGCAAACAGGAAATGAGACAAAGGCGGCCCCTTATCGGTCCATGCATTCCTTTCAGGTGATGCCCAAAAGACCAGGGGACTCCGGCTGGTCCCGGTCCCGAGGGTCTGCCCACGGGGGAAGGACCTCGCCTCCCCTCAGTGACTGGCCTTGGGTGGGTGGGGGGAGGAAGATTCCTGCCGAGGAGTCTCCACCCAGGCACAGCCTCCCTGGGCTCCCCACGGACATCCCTGCGCAGAGGGGTGGGCTGGGGTCCAGGGCTCCAAGGCACATGGAGGGGAAAGAATGGGTGTGTCCACCCCACCATTTCACTAAGGAGAATGCCACTCGATCTGGGGTCTCCGTGGGGGTGCCAGGACCCCCTAATGACCCTGACCCGCTCCCTGCCCTGGGGGGACTAGCAGCCGAGGGAAGAGGGAGGAGACACCAGGTGCGTGAAATCCAGGTGGAAGGGCGGGTGCAGGTGAGTCAGGGAGGGGTGTCTAAGCCACGCTAGGGGGCGGTGGTGTGTTTTGGGGACACATCTGATGTCCTCCACAGGTATCGTCCGGAGGAAGGAAACCTGGAGCTGGCTGTGAAATGGGAGTGGGGATGGGGACGAGGGGCGGGGAGAACGGAAGGTCTCTGGACCAATGAGAGGGGGAGAGCATATGCGAATGCCCAGGGGCCTGCATTGTACTGGGCATCTGAGGGCGGTGAGGACTCTGGAGTGGCCTGGGCACAGGGTGAAGATGCTGGCCAGGCGGGTCCTTGTGGCCTTGAAAGCCAGGCTGAGCCCCGGGAGCCCGGGAAGGTGGGCAGGGAGGGGGCGTGGAGAGGCAGGCCCAGCTCGGCCCAGGGAATGAGAGGGCCTCGCCTGGGTGGCTTGCAGAGACTGATCTGCGGAGGCAGGGGCTCAGCTGCTGTGGGGTGGTGTCCCCCTTGCCTGCTGGGCACAGGCACCAGTCCTGCTGATTGGTGGGTCGTCCGCCCCGCTCGGGCAGTGCCGAGTCAGCGTCTGAACGGTGGTTCCCACGAGCTCATGTCTCTCCGAGGGTCAAAGGTCGTGCCATCCACCGTCTACCTCCAAGAGGCTCAGTGCCCAGGGCCGCTGCGTGGAGACTAAGATGTCTAGTCCACACACCACTGCCAACCAGAGAGAGACCTCAGGCAGCCAGTCCTCTCTGCTTTCTAACCCTATGCCACCCAGCTCTGGCCGAAGACCCACGTTATTTTTGTTTGTTTGTTTGTTGTTTGTTTGTTTTTTACAGAGAGGAAGAGAGAGGGATAGAGAGTTGGAAACATCGATGAGAGAGAATCATCCATCAGCTGCCTCTTGCACACCCCCTACTGGGGATGTGCCCGCAACCAAGGTACATGCCCTTGACCAGAATCGAACCTGGAACCTTTCAGTCCGCAGGCTGACGCTCTATCCACTGAGCCAAACTGGTTTCAGCGCACGTTATTAAGTTATTAATATGTTGTCTTTATTTTAAAACAGTGAAAAAAATAAATATCTTTGGAGAATGAGAGTACAGGGGTGGGATGGGGTGGTTGGGCTGGAGACCGGGGAGTGTCCTGGCTTCCGTGGTCTTGTGTGAGGGTGCAGGGCCTGGGGCTGCAGGCTGGTTCTCCCAGCCAAGCCCTGTACCATACCCGCTGGGTGTGGGCCAGGCCCCGTCCCGTACCCGCTGGGCGGTCTGGGGGCTCCACACCAGCTTCGCCTGCCCTCAGCTCTCAGGCGGGCGCTGTGTCAGCGGAACCCTCCAGGATGAGGGCTCTGGTGCCGCCTGTGTCCAGAGCACGACCTACAGGCAGGCGGCTGGGGCGGGGCCCCACGCCACAGGGGGCTCTTCTGCCGACCGGCCCTGCTCGGTGGCCCCGGCCTCAGTGGTGAGCCATGTCCTCCATGCCCACACGGCCCCACACGCCCAGCACGAAGCTCTCGATGTCACACTCGTTGGCTCCACGCACGATGCGGAAGTGGCCCCTCTCTCCCCAGGCGGGGCCCCACGAGTTGGCCGCGGTCTGGGAATGAGGAGGAGCATGAGCAGGGCACGGAGAGGTGGATGTGGGGGAGGGGTAGAGGCGGGGAGACGGACAGCAGCTGCAGCGCCCACAGCGCAGGGACTCACCCAGTATTTGAGCGTCCTTCCATCAGGGAGTGACTCCTCTCCCCACCTGCAGGCCCGGACCGGGCAGGAGAGGACACTGATTCCACCTGCTTTCAGGGCTGCACCCCCCCACCCCAGACACTCCCCATCCCGGCCCCTGCTGCTTTGGGTCACTTGGGTACGCCCTTAGGACGTGGGCAGGTCTCTGTCCTGTCTGCACCTCCCTCGGTCTCCACATCTAAGTCTGTGTGCCTGCACCCCACGGGGCGGAAGGCACGAGAAGGGTAACGGAGGAGCGTGCAGAAAAGGGGAGGGTGTGGGCCCCCGTCCTGTGGACCATTTCTCCGGAACCTCACACTTCCGCCTGCCCTCCCTCTTCCCTCGGGGAGCCAAGGAGGAGCGGCGGCAGGGGCCAGAAGGAAGAGACTCAGGGAAGGTGGGTGCCCTGGAGGCCCGGACTCCACTGCAGAGAACTGTCATTGGCTGGGCACGTGACCTCAGTCACTCTGACGCCTCCCGTTGCTCAGATGGAGGCGCTGAGGGCTGGGGAGTGAGTCGCTGAGGGACAGAGCTGAGCGGTGCTGAGCTGGGGAGAGCTAGCCACTCCTGAGTCCTTGTCCGCTGCCCTGGACTTAAGCTCTCCTGAAGGCGCCCCCTCTTGGTGTGGCTAAGTCCCTCCTCTTCTGGACTCTCCGTTTCCTCCTCTGTGAAACGGGGCCTTGCAGAGAGGCGGCCTGGATCCTGGACAGGCTCAGAGCCCCCGGTGTAAGCTCAGCTGCCCCCACCCCTCCGTCCCCCGCAGCCCCTCACCCTGTGATCTTGACCGAATGGGTTCCGTGCCGGCGGTATCGCGCTGGCCTGCCGAGGCTCACGGGCGTGTGGCGGTAGACGCCGCCCTGGTACAGGAAGAAGTCCTCGTGCACCTCCATGAGGGCTGTGGGCAGGGGGGAGGTGGGGCCAGCGCAGCCGTCAGCACATCCGGCCCCGCAACCTCTCCTACCGGGTGCTGCCCGTGGGGAGGGGATAGGGTCCCCCGACTTCCGGCCCCAGCAGACCTGCTGCTCGGCGCTGCACAGAACACGTGGAATCCGGAGGGGCGGGGTGGGGGGGCCTAAAATGAAGGGGGCTCACCTTGGACAGGGCCGTTCTCCATCAGCTCCTTCATGATCTCCGTCTCCTGCAGGTGGGAGGTGGGGAGGGGGGTATCCCTTAGGGGTGAGGCTCCAGCCTTCCTGCTCTCTCCCTCTGCCCCCCGCCCACGTGCAGACTTACACTGGAGCCCAGGCGGTAGGCGGGCGTGACCTGGTAGATGTCGTTGGCGTGGACGTGGTGGTTGGGGCAGCGGGCGGTGGCCTGGCGCTTGCCCCGGCCCGTGGCCCGGCTGTGCATCATGCAGGGGGGCGCCGGGCCCGCCTCCGTCATCTCCCGGCCCGAGAACGGGTAGCAGAGGTCGGACACCACCCTGGAGGGGCAGCCGGAGGGAGCGGGGGCAGAGGGAGCCGGCCTTCCCCAAGGCCCCTGCCCCGCGCCCTCTCCCCTGCCCACACGCCCCGCGGCTCACCCTCGCCGCCGCAGGAACCACCAGGCGCCGTCCAGGTGCCCGCCGCGGCAGCCCCGCTGGTTGTGCTTGTCGCAGGACAGCAGGTTCTGGGGCGACAGGACCGGGGCCATGTGCCCCAGAGAGTGGATTGAGACGCGATCGGAGGCCACGGCTGGGGGAGGAGCAGAAGGGCCTTGGTCAGAGGGCTCAGGCCCCGGCCCCCCGCCCCCCGAGCCAGCCCCCCCCCCCCCCGAGCCAGCCCCCGGGCGCACCTGCCGTGGAGAAGGCCCAGGAGCCTGCACAGTTGCCCTGGTCGAGGGGCTCGTGGATCAGGTTGGGCCACTTCTCAGAGGCCTCAAAGGCTCTGGGCAGGACCTCCCCCGGGACCAGCACCGTCTGCAAGACAAAGCCGCTCCGCCTGCCTCCGGCTCCCGCCCGCCTGCCCCTCCGCAGCCTGCTGGCCTTGGGAGCCACCAGGAGTCCAGGGCTTCCTGCAGTTTGACCTTGGGCCTCTTGCTGCACTGACTCAGTGCGACCCGAGCACCACGGAGGCCGGCCTGGCCTCAGGTGGAGGCCGCCAGGCCCGGGGCCAGGCCGGCGCCATCCTGCTTCTCTCCTCAGCCCCTGCCTCGCTCCTCCTCTGCACCTTTCAGTCTGTCACATCCTCCTTCCCCCCAGGACCTTGGGCTTTGGGCCACTCCGGGCAGGGGCGGGAAGGAGCAGTTGGTCCCGTGACCAAGCAGGCTGCCAAGGCAAACAGCAGGAGGCAAATAGCAGAGGCCCAGGGCGGGGCAGGGTCTGCTCACCCCAGCCTTGAGCTGAAGTCCCTCTTCAGACAGGGCCGTTCAGGCCAGCCCCTGCCTCCCCACTGCCTCCTCCCTGCCTCCCCCATGCCGCCACCGCGAGGTGGAGCCTCCAGCCCGGGCCCAGCCTGTCCTGCCGAAGTGCCCCTCCCTCACGCTGACTGTCCTGCGCTGGTTCCCATTTCTGCCCCGAGAGGGTCCCGCTAGTGGGAAGGGAGAAGCCCCCTCCTCCCTTGGGGTTCCTCTGAGTTGTTCCCGAGAACTGCTGCTCCCTGGCCAGAGCTGGAGGAGTGGCTGTTTTCCCTTCCCAAAATACCAGGGTGACCTCCTGGCCCCTTGGGCCCTGACCCCGCCGTGCTGGGACCAGCAGCATTTTTCCCAGGCTGGGGAGCCACGCAGGGGCTCAGGCTGGAGGCAGCACACCCAGGCTCCGCACACCAGTTCCTCTGGGCAGCCCATCTCGCTATAGGCCAGCTCCGAAGGCCCAGAGAAGGAGAGTGACCTGTCCGGCGTCACACAGCCTGTTGGAGAGGGCTAGGCCCAGGCCTCAGACCAACAGGACACAGGGTGCCAGGGTCCCTGGCGTCGTAGGCCATGAGGAGGCAGGATGGTGGGCGAGGATGGACTTACGTGAATCTCATTCATGCTGGTGACCGAGGGGGATGGGCGGATGGTGCCCAGGCGATAGCGGATGCCCTCGTCCAGGGTCATGCCCCAGAAGGCACTGTGGTTCCCCGCCCGCCACCTGAGAGAGAAGGGACGGGAGGGACAGACTAAGGCTGGGGGTCCTGGAGGTACACGTGTGTTCGAGGGAGAGACACACGCCGGTGAATAAACATATTCTGCCACATACATGAGATCTGAGCGAGGGTGTGCCTGGCGGGAGACGCACCTTGGGCAGAATGTGCGTGTGCACTGGGGTACAGCAGGGCCTCTTACCCGTAGTTTCCCTGGTTGATGGCGTTGATCATGTCTTGGTCCACCAGGCATGGCTCCTGGTCACACTCCCACTGCCCATTCTGCTGGCAGGTGCTGGGAGAACAGAGGGGAGGGAAGAAGTGAGGGGGGCTGGGCAGCCTCTGGCGGGAAGAGGCCTCGGAGGTTGACATGGGCCTGAGATTCTGAACCAACATCTACGACAAGACCCTTAGAGGATCCCATCCAGCCTGGTGGCTTAAAATGTCAGCTTCGCCCACCGGTCTGGCTCAGTGGATAGAGCGTCGGCCTGCGGACTGAAAGGTCCCAGGTTCGATTCCAGACAAGGGCATGTACCTTGGTTGCAGGCACATCCCCAGTAGGTGGTGTACAAGAGGCAGCTGAAAGATATTTCTTTCTCATCGATGCTTCTAACTCTATCCCTCTCCCTTTCTCTCTGTAAAAAAAAATCAATAAAACATGTTTTTAAAAATTAAATAAAATAAAGTGCCAGCTTCAAGTTCACGATTCTCAAGTTTATACCCCCACTCTCCCGGTCTCTCCCTAAACTCCCTCAGCCCAGTGTCTACCCCCAGGTCAAACGTAAAACACCCCAAATTGATCCCCTGGTCTCCCCTGCTCCCATGCCGGTCCCCAAAGCGGCCACTCCATCCTTCCCAGAGCTCAGGCCCAAAGCCCGGCTTCCTCTTATTTCCTGATCTAATCCACTGGCCAATCCTGTGGGCTCTGCCTTAAAAAACGCACCCGGAATCCAAACCACGTCTCATTCTTTCCTGTGGTTCAATCACCTTTCACCTGGTTTATGCTGCAGTCTCCTCGCTCTTCTCCCCACCTCTGCCCTGCACCCCACGTCAGTGTATTTTTAACGCAGCTGCCAGTGAACCCAAGTCAGATAGTGCCATTCCTCTGCCCCAAATCCTCTGCTGGCGTCACAGCATAGAATAAGAGCCACAGTCCTTACGGTGCCAGCAGACCCAGCATGATCTGTCTTTCTGTCCGCTCTCCGGCCCCTTCTCCTGCCAGCCTGGCCCTCTGACTCTGCACCCGCCGTGCTCCTGCCCCAGGGCCTTTGAACTGTTGTTCTCCCTCCAACATCCATGGCTCCCTCAGTTTTTCCAAGTTTTCATTTGTGTGTCACCTGCTCTGGGACGCCGGCCCTGGCCTCCCTCTGCTCCTGTCCTCTGCTCCTCCTATCGCTCTTCCCTGTTTTATTTTTACCCTTCACATGCCACCACTATCTGGCGTTCTACCCAGTTAGTTATTTATATTGCTTCTACCTGCTTCCTCAGGTCTGACTTGGTACTGAAGAGTGCCCACAAAACAACACCTAGCACATAGTAGGCCTGTAAATATTTACTGAATGAATGAATGAGTGAATGAATGAGGCAGTAGAGCGAAGTGACCTCGATTAGATTCTGAAATTCAAATCCCGGGTTCCAGTCCTAGCTGACGAGGCACGTGACCTCAGGCAAGTGAAACTGTTGTCTGTACGTTGAGGATGGCGACAGCACCACCTCTCGGGATGCAATGGCAACGTGCAGAGCGTGCAGCGCCAGGCTGGGCCCGTCTCAGCTCCTCCAGGGACGTCATCAACATTCCTGTTCTCATTACAGGGACCCGCCCTGCCCCTCTGGACTTCCCGATCAGATCCAACTGGCCCCTCTGGGGGCGTAAAAGTCATCTCCTGCTTCAAATGGCCAAGCTGCCTTCCCCCACGCGCTCCGGCCCGAACATTCTCAACTCCAATCACGCGCCTTATCCAGGTGTGTAAGCCAGAACTCGGGCCCACCCCCGGCCTCCTCCATCAGCAGGTCGGGAAGTCACATCACAAAAGGCTCTGAGCCCGCCCGCCTGTCCCCCCTCCTCCGCCACCTCTTACCTAACCAGGCTTCCTGCCTTTTCATGATCCCTGCACACACCCCTTTCTGAAGCCAGAGAGATCTTTGAAGAAGATCAGCTGGCCAGCAAACCAGGGGATGTGCTCTCTACGTGGCGCCCCACAACACACAGAACAAAATGTGGAATCCTCGCCACAGCGATGAGACTCGCAGGAAGTGGCCTGCACCTCCCGGGGCCTCTCTCCCCGTTCCACCGCTCGGGGCTGCAGGACGCTGGGCCCACCCCGGCCTTCCCACACGCTGTGCCTCCCAAGTTCCCTCCTGGGCCTCTCATCTCCCCGATATCAGCACCAATGTCCTTTCCTGGGCGGCCCTCCCTCGACCCCACCCCACTCTAAACCGGGCTCCCCCTTATTCTCTCCTTTCCCCTCACGCCAGGAGAGGCTGCGATGACGCGTGTGTTTGCGGCTCTTCACCACTAGCCTGGGAGCTCCAAGGACAGGACCTGTGGTGCATTCTGGCTGCACTTAGTAGGTCTTTAAAAAATAGGCGTCGACTGACTAGTTGAATTCTATGAATTCTTCGGCACTTTTACAAGCTCTTAGCTCTGATAAAGTGCCTCCTTCCACGCCCGCCCCTCCCCGCCTCCAGTGTTGCCTTTTAAGGAGCCTCAAGGGAACCAAGAAAGACCCAGTATGGCTGGCTCTCCCGTCCCTGAGGGGCGGGCACTTTCCGGGAGGCCAGAGCGGACTACAGGGACTGGAGGCTTCCCTCCTCCTCCTCCTCCCCTCCGCCCTGGGACACTCTCTCTCAGCATCCCTCATCCCTCGAGGGCTCACACAGCCTGGAAGGCCCACGGCCCTGCCCCACATCAGGTGCCCCAAGCGCAGGGAGCACAGCTGTTCAGAGCCGGCCTGGGTGGGCAGCAGGCTGGTCAGTCCTTGCTCGCACCTCCCCTTTGCCCCTAGGGCTGCCCAAGCAGGTCTAGACTGGACCGGTGACAACAGATCCCAGCATTCCAGAGAGGGTCTGGGGCGGCCAGGCCCAGGGACAGGCTTGGAGAAAGCGTTTACCCCTCAGTGTCCAGAGGTAACCTGTCAGGACTGGCAGGACCATGCAGGTGCACTCCGTCTTTCTGAGCACATACAAGCAGCTCACACACACACACACACACACACACACACACACGCACACGCACACTCTCACCCAGACACACTCTCACCCCGCAGCCCTCACACCAGTGAGGCAATGGAAACAGCTTGTGCGTAATGCATTCCAAAAAGTTTCCTTCCCTCTGGGGCCTCCGGGCAGAGGGCAGGGGTGGAGAGGGTGCAGGGCCTCTTCCTTTTGAGTCACAGGGTCCCCACTACCTCCGTGAAGGCTTCCTCCCCACCCATCTCCACTTTACATCTTGGGCTTCTGATCAGACCCAGGAGCAGCCTGACTCCTCCGTCCTCCTGCCCGAACCGAGTGGCCGAGGTGAGGGAGGGAGAGGGGCCCCATTCCAGGGAAGGCCCGCTCCAGGCTGGCTGACCTCCAGCGCAGCCACCCCTGACCCTCATCCGGTCCAGGGCAGCGGATGCTGCAGTCAGAGGTTTCCTTCCTGACGCCCCCTTCTCGCACTCTCCCGTGACATGGAGAAAGGCTGGGGGGTGGCGTGGCGGGGGTTGGGGGGGGTGGCAATAGCTCAGCCCAAGTCAGGAGGGGCCAGGAATGACTCCCAGCTCAGGGTCCCGCCGGGAGCCAGGTACCCATGGCTGACCACCCCAGAGGAATGGTGTCAGAAGGTTGTTTGTAGACGTTGACGCGGTCAGTGTGAAACCCCCACGTTTCAGATGAGGAAACCGAGGCTCAGAAAAGGGGAAAGGCTTGGCCCCAGCAAGTGAGTGACAGGGATGGGGATTGGACCAAGTCTGTCAGCCATAAAGTCCACAGGGGGCCTCTGCAAGCCCCGAGCACTCACCAGCGGTTACAGTTGTCCCAGTGGGTTCCTAAGATCGGATAGACGCGACCCTCATGCATGCATCCTGGTGGAGGGAAGAGAACACAGCGGAGCTGAGACCAGAGAGGATGGGCTGTAATGGCCAAGTTCTTAAAGGTCGGATGTGCAGACACATGGACACACACACACCCCCAGCACACATACCCAACACACACACACACACACACACACACACACATCAGCCCTCACTGAAACTAAAGTCAAACTATAACTGAAGACCCCCCTGCAGGGTCACCCAGCAACTGCCCTTAGTAAGTGCTTAGGTCCTTCTTGTCTATCCACTCTCTGCCAGCCTCAGCATTCCGGGCATGCTTTGCGAGCAAGTGAGTTGGAATGTGGGAACCCGAAATCGGGGTTCGGGGGAGCAGTTTTTGGGGAATCTGAGGCCCAGAGAAGGCAAGGGACTCCACCAACATAATACAGCATTCGGGATGACAACCCTCACACACACACACACACACACACACACACACACACACACACTGTGCAGCCTCCCATCCATAGCCCCATGGAGCTGTGGGGAGATGGTGGCCAGGGCTGAGGCAGGCGCAGGCATCACCCCGCTCCGGGTGTGGCCAGCCCCCTGGGGGCAGAGAACCCCGGGGAAAGGCAGAGGAATGGCTCAGATGACTCTGAGCGGCCCCTGCACTTTATCAACCTGAGCGTGAGTCAGCGGGCGGGCCCGGCACCTTCCCTGTCCGGAATATGGAAGCGGGACTGGGAGAAAGGACAGGAAGCTCCCTTCTCTGGGCCAACAGCCTAGAGTCCCACTGGCCAAGGAGCCTCTCTGGTGCTGGAGAGACTCAGGCTAGACCAGAGGGGGGACTTCCCAGAGGCCCCGAGCGTGAGGCGGGGTCTCTTTCCCAGTCGCCCCAAAGTCTCCCCTGGAAATGTCAGCGCATCAGCCTTGCCCCTGGGCGCCCACCTTGGCTGGGCGGGAACGGGGGCGGCACGCCCAGGCAGAAGTCCCAGAAGTCGGGGCAGCAGTCGGAGACAGTGCGGTTGCAGAAGAGGTCGCAGTAGCAGGTGGCGCCCAGGTAGGGCAGCGCGCACTGGTCGTCGCGGCCGCGGCAGCACAGGTCCCGCTCCTGGCAGTACCGGCCGCCCGCGTCCCGGATGCCCCGCAGGTGCAGCGCGGGGGCCAGCTCCCGGCGCCCGCGGCCCCGCCGGGCACCCAGGGCCCCCTCGGCGGCCAGCAGCAGCAGCAGCAGCAGCCGCGGTGGGCACCTCCACATGGTGCTCCTGGTCCCGGGGAGGGCAGAGGTCAGGGGCCGGGAGGGGGGCAGCAGAGATGCCCTGGACCCGCGGGTGAGTCCCAGCGCCTTGGACTGACCCCGAGGGAGGGCGTCGGGCAGGGTCAGAGCCCCCGATTCCTGGGTCCCCCTCGGCTCCCAGGGAGAAGGGGCCGGGCAGGAAGGGCAGCCTGGGGGCGTCGGGGGACAGAAAGTGGGGTGGGCATTCCTGGTCTCCCCTGTCCTGGGTCCCTCTGCCTCCGCCCCCCTCCCCGCTGTGGGTCCTCTCGCCTGTTCTCGGTGTCCCTCTGGCACTCCACGCTCCCTCCCGGCATCTGTCATGTCCCTCCGCCTGCTCCCTCCTCCGCCCCACCTACACCCTCTCCCTTCCCAGCGGGGAGCGTCCCTACCTGATGGGGTGTGGGCTGGCCCGGGCTGCCCCACGCACCGCCTCCGGACTCGGTGACCGGACTCCTGTGACCGCTGGACACTCAAAGTCAAGTGAGGAGCGCGGGGCGGGATCGCTTTTTGTACCGCCCCGCCCCCCCCCCATCCCTCCACCCCGCGCCCCGCCGGCAGGGGAGGGGCCGGGCCCCTGCACCTGGGGCGGCCCCACAGCTCGGCGGGGCTGGGGAGGGCCGGAGGGAGGGGGCCTGGGCCGTGCTGCCCCGTCTCCTCCGGGGGAAGCCGTTCCCTGGGGGCGGAACTCCATCCGAAAGGGAAAGGGAAAGGACTGCGGTCTGACACCGGCCAGGACCTCCCAGCGGGTCAGCGCGGCTCAGGCTCCGCGGAGAAGGGGGTTGGGGGCGCGGAGCTCGGGTTTGGGACCTCAGTTTGGGAACTAACGGGGAGAGCGCCCGCGGCAAACCTCTCTCAGGTCCCCTCCCGGAGCCTCAGCCATAGAAGCCGCCACGCACCCCCCTGCACCGTGCCCCCAGGGCCTGGGACCGCTCCACGCCATCTCCCTCCTCGGAATGATCGGAATCCGGACAAGGACGGCTGCAGATTCCTGAGGGGTGAGGCCCGTGTGGCGTAGGGGCTGCCTCCCTGCCCTGCAACCCCTCCTGGGGTCTGCGGGGCACTGCCCCCTCTACCAACCCCGAGGGCATCCTGCTTGGCACCTGTTCTCCTCTCGGGCCCAATGGCAAGAGTCCTGACAGCTGGCGTATCCCTCACCCCCCCATCCAGCACCCTCCTTCCTGCCCCCGGGGCATAAACCCTTCCTTTGCCCAGGCTGGCCTGGGCCCCAAACAATGGGGCTTCTGTCCCGCCAGGCCCGCTGTCACCTTTTACCTCCCCATTGCACAACCCTGTCTTCCAGGCAGCTGGGTTCGGGCCAGAGGCCTCTCACTGTGGGGAGGAGGGCAGAGACTACACCTGGGCAGGCCCCCTCCCCAGGCCCCGGTCTCAAAGCTGCCCCTGGGGATGGGGGGTGGGGTGGGGGGAGACTGTGCAACACGCTTGGGGATTCCCTTTGCCCTCTCGCTGACCTGCCCACATCCCTCCCCCAGCCCAGGGCATCCTCAGCTGGCGACGGGGGGGGGGGGGGGGGGGGGGGGGGGGGGACCAGGACAAACAGGCGTCTGTGACTGTGTTACCCCCTGCCAGGGACCGGGCAGTGAGTCACCGAGGGGATCCTACCCTAGTGGGCGGGGAAGGGGGGGAGTGCGGGGGGGGGGGGATCGAAGGGGTGGAAATGGGGGAATAATGTCCTGCGGCCCCAACGTTGGCACTGACACACCCAGAAGCTGGCCCATCCGCTCCCTGCGGGGACCTGGGACTAAGGCTCAATGGGAAACTGAGGCCCAGAGGTCAACTGTATCTGAAGTCACAGAGCCAGATCGCAGGCTCCCTGCCTGCCGCCACTCAGCTCCTTTCCCTCTGTCACCTTTAGTCACGCAGCACAGGTCTCAACACCGACCTGGCTGAAAAGTCCCTTTCCGTGATCTCACCTCCAGCCACCTTTCTGCACGGCCTCTCCGTGACGGTCAAGGTCACATCCACAGGCGAGGCGTGTCCACCTCCACAGATCCGTGTCTGGCCAGCGGGGACATGGGGCCTGTCCTTTACCTCACATCACACTCTGAAGGCCACCCTGTAAGTCTGTGGTGTGTGTGTGTGTGTGTGTGTGTGTACATGTGTGTGTGGCTGTGTGTGTGTGTACATGTGGGTGTTTCTGCCTGAGTCTGTCTGCTCTGCGCCTGTGCATCTGCCCGGAGGCTCCTCCTGTGTTGGTCACGGGGTCGGCCTGTCTTGGTGCCAGTGTATTGTCTTGGTGCCTCTGTTTGTGTGCTTGTTGGCAGGTGTGTCTGTGTGCATAGCTGTGTGACTGTCCCTATCTGTGTCTGCCTACTGACTAGGTGTCTGTGTATCTGTGGAGGTGTCTGTGTCTGTTTGGGGGTTTGGGCTGCCTGCCTGTCCTTGCCTGCCTGTCCGTCTGTGCATAGGAGGCAGGGACACAGAGCAAGAGATCACACAGCCAAGAGCGTGGCGTGTGTGTGTGTGTGTGTGTGTGTGTGTGTGTGTAAGGGGGGGTGGGGAGTCCCTTCTCAACCCTCTGGAACCTCGTGACTCACTGGGCTGCCTGGCCAGAGGAGAGGAAAAGGGCAGGGCTCCGGGGAGGGGGGCTGGAACCCACTTTCCTTTTCCATGGCCTCCTCCTTCCTGGTGACTCATCCCCTGTCTTATTCTGTCCCACAGCCCGAGGCAGGGAGAGCAACAGGTGAGGAGACACAGGCCCACAGGGCGGTGAGGGCTCGCTCCTGAGGGGCAGGTGGCCAGGGGGCGGGGCCTGCTGCCTCACAGGGACGCTCCTTACTGGGCTCTGCTTTCCCATCCGTACCCAGATGCTCCCTTGGGGTCCTCTCACGCTCTTTTCTTTCTTCAAGGGGGTATGTGTGAAACTCAAAAGGGGCGGTGACATGCCTAAGGTCACACAGCAGAGGCCAAGCCTCCTCTCTGCTCTCCAGAAGCCCAGGGCTACCCTCCCCGCTGACAGCTGCTCTGGGTGCTCAGAACAGGCCGTTCTCCCCTGGAAGCTGAGCAGAGCCTCCTGGGAAGACAAAGACCCATTGTGCTCGGCTCAACCCCGCTCTGTGACGGAGGACCCACTACTCGGACCACATGCTTTCCTCCCTGGAGGCTTAGATGCTTGGGTCCCGAATAGCACTCAGTCCAGGCTGGGAGTCTCTTGCGCCCCACTGGCCAGCCGGATGTGTCCAGAGCTGGGAGCAGTGACACCTGGGACGAAGAGTGGGATCCGGGCCTGGGTAGCGTGGTGGGCGTTGGCCCGCGTTGTGACATGTCGGGCTCCGGGGCTGTTGGGTGCATTGCCTTATAAAAGTGCTGCCCGCGGGGCTGTGTGCAGGCAGACTGGCTCTGCGGTGGCGTGCTGGGGCTTGTGGCAAATGAGATTAGGGGCCACAAGGCTGTACAGAGCGGTGGCATGCCTTCCTCACCGACTTTCTCATTCCCTCAGCACATAGCTGCCCGGCATTCACTGCGTGCGGGCTCTGTGCTAGGGGCTGAGTGTTCAGGGTTGAGCTACACAGACACGGGCTCTGCTCTCGAGAAATCTGCAAATGAGTGGGGAGACAGACAAATAAATGAGCAAACAGAGATTCTAAGGAGCCCTGCTTGGAATGCTGTGAGGATGTGTGCAGGCAGAGGAGCCCGGAGCATGGGGATGGGCCAGGAGGGCTCAGAGAGGAGATGACATCTGAGCTGAGACCTGCAGGCCGAGCAGGCAGCCACTCCTGGGGCCCAGGGGAGGGTGGGCAGGGAGCACGGTCGGCGTGAGCAGAAGCAGAGGCCGGGCACAAGTTGTTCTGTTTGAGAAACATAAGAAAGCCCAGAGTGGCCGCACCACAGTGATCAAGGGGCGGAGGAGCAGGAGGGGCTGGGAGGTGGGCTGGAGCCCATCGGGTGGGCCCTGGGGCAGAGGTAAGCAGCTGGGATGGACCTCTGGCTGCCGAGAGACCCCTCGAGCTCAAGAGCCCACTCGGGCTGCTCTGCAGATGACAAGGCCAGAGTGAGGTCAGAGAGACAGTAGGAGGCCAGGGTAACCCAGACCAGAGACACCGAGGCTTGAAGGAGGCTGGTGGCCGCAGAAATCAGGAGAAGCAGGGCTATTCAAGACCTGTTCCGAAGGCGGGATTCAGTGCTTGTGGAAGGACCAGCTGTGGTGGGCGAGAGAGAGGAGAAAGACAGGAGGACTTCTGGGTGTCTAGCCCACTGGGTGCAGATTCTCTGCTCCTGCCCCTGAGAGGCGGAGACTGCTTTCCTTCCTGGAATCTGAGCAGGCTGGGGGTGCGCTTGGACCGTGGAGTACTGGGTACCCAGTACCATGTGCCCCATGCTGATTTCCAGCTCAGCCTGGAAAAGGGGGAGGGGATGGAGCCTGGGGAGGCTCCCGCACAGGAAGTTGGGCAGAGAGGAGGAATGATACACAGACGGAGCAGGGGTGGCTGAGGGAAGGAGGGAGGCAGGCGAGAGAGCTGTCAGGAGCCTGGAGAAGAGTGTTTTGAGGAGAGAACACTGGGTGGAACACTGCCCAAAGGCTGGACAGAGAAGTGTGCAGTCGATTTGGCAACAAGGAGGCTGAGGCCACCTTGATGCGAGCCTTGTGAGTGGCGGAGTGAGTAAGGAAGCTGGATTGGAATGGCTGGACCAGCCCAGGGGAGCTATTGGATGGGAGAGAACAACCACAGGAACTTTCTAGAACGTTTCAGAGCAAAGGGACACAGAGAAATGGGGCATTGGCTGGGAATAGAGGGGTCAAGAGTGGGTTTTGGCCAAACATGAGGCTATGAAATTGGGTCTCTATGTCGATGACAATGCCCAGTAGGAGGGGGAGAACTGACGATAGGAGGGAGGGGTTACACAGGAGCAGGGTCCTTGGTGAAGGTGGGGGTATTAAGAGCACAGAGCAGGCCTTCGATAGAAGTGAGACAAAGTGACGGGGTGGGGCTAGGGGGATGGAGAAGATGGAGGATCAAGAATCA